CCTTAGGAGTACCCTAATTAAGTTAATAACAATGTACCTACCTATATAGTTTAAGTTTAAAAAATTTGCCTCTCAAAAGAAATTTCAGTTGTCAAACTGTTGATATTTGACTCTGTTGACTAATGAGTTTGCCGACCACTGCTCTAAGGGGAAAAAAATTTTTGTCCTTTGTTACCAAAAAAAAAAAAAATTATTTAAAATACTTTGGAGCCGTCCATAATATCAACAATAATTTTTGCCTTTATTAGCTCTGTTGACTAATGAGTTTGCCGACCACTGCTCTAAGGGAAAAAATGTTTTGTCCTTTGTTACCAAAAAAAAAAAATTTATTTAAAATACTTTGGCCGAAACCGGTTTGGCTCAATAAAGTGTTTTAAAAACTATAGATGGTGTGGCTCACGTGGATTATTTCATTTACAACTTGTTATAACTCTCTCTAGAAGATGGTGTTATCATCTCTGATTTGCAGAGAAGCTAAATAACTTGCTCAGGTTCACAGGGTTAGCAAGTGGCAGAGCCTGGCAGTCTGAATCTGGAATCCTTGCTTTCAATCAATGCTATGCTTTTTTTTTAGTGTTTTAAAAACTATAGATGGTGTGGCTCACATGGATTATTTCATTTACAACTTGTTACAACTCTCTCTAGAAGATGGTGTTATTATTTCTGATATGCAGAGAAGCAATCATGATGCTATGCTGCCCCCCTGTGTAGGTAACGAAGAACACCCCTTGGACTCACTCCAGATAGCTCTCTGCCTAGAGCAGCGGTTCTCAACCTGTGGGTCGAGACCCCTTTGGGGGTCGAACGACCCTTTCACAGGGGTCGCCTAAGACCATCGGAAAATACATGTATAATTACATATTGTTTTTGTGATTAATCACTCTGCTTTAATTATGTTCAATTTGTAACAATGAAAATATATCCTGCATATCAGATATTTACATTACGATTCATAACAGTAGCAAAATTACAGTTATGAAGTAGCAACGAAAATAATTTTATGGTTGGGACTCACTGCAACATGGGGAACTGTATTAAAGGGTCACAGCATTAGGACGGTTGAGAACCACTGGCCTAGAGGAAAGGGTGTTTTTAAAAGCTAGGTTTGCAGGTAGGAAAGACAGATCTTTAGGAATGACAGCCAAAATCCCATCTTAGGGGAAGGGTGTTATAGGCCTCTCATAAATAAAGCAATATGGAAGGAAAATTAGAAATATTTTTAAAGACTTGGGGAGAAAAGAATGAAACGAACAGGTGTAAGCCAGGCACGGGGATGCCATTCTCGTGATGAGTGAACACAGGTGTAGAGGCTGCAGATGTGGAGGGACTGACGAACTGGGACAACCAGGGAGCTACGGGAGCAGAAAAAATACTTTTTCTTCTTCTAAGTTCTTCTGGCTGGACTACTCATCAAATTAACATTGGGACAACCAGGGAGCTACGGGAGCAGAAAAAATGCTTTTTCTTCTAAGTTCTTCTGGCTGGACTACTAATCAAATTAACATGAGGCAGATTAACAGGACAAAATGACCAAATCTATTACATATGTTTTTATAGGGATTCCATAAGAATATGAGACCCAAAGACACAGGGGGCAGCTGAGGCTTATGTGCCATGCTGGACCAAGGGGAGGGAGGCAGGGGTCTGAGATCTCAAGGGGAAAGTGGGCAGTTCACAGGCAGACGAGAAAGAGCAAACGTGGAAAACAAATGCTTGGCCACCCGGAAACAATGGGACCCACAGGGGAATCTAACAAACAGACGTGCTTGAATCCTCCCTGTCGGCCATGTTTAATTCATATACGCTAAGGCTCCCTTCCCCAAGCAGCTTTTCTACCTGAAATCCTTCAGGCAGGTAAGGGGACGGAAAACAAACAAAGGGCCCTCTTCTTGAGCTTTAATTGTTTTCAGAAGAATCTGCATGCCCAGCTGGCATATTCTATGGAGGCTGTTTCTGGACTAAAAGCAAGTCAACGGGGCAGGATGCAGGGCCTGGCTCCTGCTCACTGTTTCTCTTCTCCCCCGTGCTCCCAGGGCCCTAGACCTTAAACATGCTCCCCACAGATAGAAAATAGGTCTGCTGGGCCCACTAAAAAACTGCAAATCAGATTTTAATTTTGCTGAGAAAATAAAATGGGTTTAAAAAGAATTCTGAGGACACAGTGAGACTCCAATCATGAAAAATTCTGCAAATAACTGAACTTTAAACAATAAAACATATAAATGAACAAGGCTGTTGAAAACCCAGGAAGCCAAGCCAAAGAAATCTCCACACCACAATGAGGGAGATGCTCTTTGTATATTGGAGAGTGGAGGAACATGAATATTATTTACCATGTTATATAGGTAGTATAATCTTTAACCAATAAACAAGTATTGATTAAGCAGTTACTATGTGTCCTGCACTGGGCCAGGTACAAAATTCACTTTGCAATTATATCAAACACAACCTTTCTATTGAATTTTTTTTTTCAAAATCATTATGTGTAACATATAGCAGATATTATTATTCCTATTTTATAAAAGACTTTGAATGACTTGCTAAGGTCACTCAAAAGCAAGCAGTGGCAGCCCAGCTGAGGTAGCTCAGTGGTTGAACATGGACCTATGAACCAGAAGGTCACAATTCAATCAATTCCTGGTCAGGGCACATGCCTGGGTTGTGGGCTCCATCCCCAGTGTTGGGCATGCAAGAGGCAGGCGATCAATGATTCTCTCATTATTGATGTTTCTATCTCCCTTTACCTCTCCCTTCTTCTTTGAAATAAAAATATATATATTATTTTAAAAAACCACAACAACAACAACAAAAAAACAAGGTCACAATTCAATCAATTCCTGGTCAGGGCACATGCCTGGGTTGTGGGCTCCATCCCCAGTGTTGGGCATGCAAGAGGCAGGCGATCAATGATTCTCTCATTATTGATGTTTCTATCTCCCTTTACCTCTCCCTTCTTCTCTGAAATAAAAATATATATATTATTTAAAAAAACCACAACAACAACAACAACAAAAAACTAGCACTGGCAGAGGGCAAGCAGGACCACACTTTAAGTTTTAGATTATGTCCCTATCTATTCAGGAGGCTCAGCTTTGTCTTAGAAGAGCATCTATGTGAACCATCTTCCCTCCTAGACATCCAAGGCCATGCACAGTTCTCAGATTATGAGACAGCTGCATGAGCTGGGCAAGGCCTGCATCCTCTCTAAGCCTAAGTTCTTTGTAAGGAGAACAAGGAGGGGTGGGTCAAATGATGTCATTGACCTCTTTTAGCTGTAACCTTCTGAATCTATTAGAAACGGCTTCAATGCATTACAATCCTGACCTTAATCCTGTGTTTTGGACTCTCATAAACTCCAACAGTAGCCTCAAGGCTTTTCATTTGAGTGAGCTTAATAAAGCCATTTTAGAGAAGTGTTCTCAGATCTGGAGGTGGCAGGAAGAGGGCAAAGACTTGACCTTCTAAAGAAAGAGAAAGTACAGATTCAAGGTTGTTCCTAAGCCAAGTGTTATGTTTTAGCAGGATGTGTTCCATTTATGCTCGGTAATAGCCATTGAAAGTTGAGATGGAATTGGGGAGAAACTTGGTTCTCTGTTGGTAAAGGCATCAATGACAGACCAATCTCATTCTCTACATTACACACTTTCTCACAAACCCGCAGGTAGTTTCAGAGCCTAGAGGAACTAATGCAAGGTTAGGGTCAACATACCGTCCTAGAGGAGTCAACCACAACCATATGTAATACTGGATAAAGCAGCCAGAGCAAATGGCTTATAAATTATTAAAATACGCTATTATTATACATTTCATGTGAAAAGTCTTCCCAATTATTCACGTTTGTAAAAACGTTGCAATGCTGAGAAGGAAGGGTTTATCAGTCCATTTTCCTGGTGAAGAAACAGTGATTCATTTAACTTCATTGGACTTAAGTTTATTGAAAACTTCCCCTGGACCAGGTATCCTCCAAAACAGGATTTACATTTCCACTTCCAGGTCCCTGGTACTGGTGCCTGTGAAGTCAAACTGAAGCCTCCTGCCTTGGTGGTCTATGATAGTGGCTAAAATAGCTGGCTCTCTGGTCCGATGGTATCCCTGGGCTCTGAGCCTGCTTCTACATCTTACCATGTGGTTGTGTAGCTGTCTGAGCTGTGGGACTCCTTCTGATTCAGTTTCTTCATCTGTAAAATAAGAAGAAGAACATGTTACCTTAAAGAACTTCCAGAAGACTAACCTTTTGTCACAGTCTTCGCAGCAAGGGTTCCGGAATCTGGAGAAGGGCTGCGCATAAATGAATAGAGACTAGACAAGAAATATAAATTTGGAAGTCATCTGGGGGAACCAGGCGGAGGCTTCACCCTCTAGTGGGGTGGCTTCCCAAATCTTCTGACCCACAGCTTTTTATTTACTGGAAAACACATTGGCCCTTTAGGAATGCAAACAGGCATATCAAAGGTAAATTTTGGTAAACAGGAAAAGATTGTCAGGTTAGGGCGGTCGTTGGCAAACTGCGGCTCTCGAGCCACATGAGGCTCTTTGGCCCCTTGAGTGTGGCTCTTCCACAAAATACCACGTGCGGGCGCGCACGTACAGTGCGATTGAAACTTCGTGGCCCATGTGCAGAAGTCGGTATTTTGAGGAAGAGCCACACTCAAGGGGCCAAAGAGCCGCATGTGGCTCCCGAGCCACAGTTTGCCAACCACTGGGCTAGGGGAAATGCCTACAGCTGTTCAGCAGCAGGTAATAATATGCAGATTTGCAGCCCTGCTGAAAATGTCCATCAGCCTTCTGACAAACTTCTCGCATTTATTATGCTAACTACTGCTCTTAGCCTCCAGCACTAACCGTGGCAACACAACAGGCATATCAAAGGTAAATTTTGGTAAACAGGAAAAGATTGTCAGGTTAGGGCGGTGGTTGGCAAACTGCGGCTCTCGAGCCACATGCGGCTCTTTGGCCCCTTGAGTGTGGCTCTTCCACAAAATACCACGTGCGGGCGCGCACGTACAGTGCAATTGAAACTTCATGGCCCATGTGCAGAAGGCGGGATTTTGAGGAAGAGCCACACTCAAGGGGCCAAAGAGCCGCTTGGGGCCCCGGAGCCACAGTTTGCCGACCACTGGGCTAGGGGAAATGCCTATAGCTGTTCAGCAGCAGGTCATCATATGCAGATTTGCAGCCCTGCTGAAAATGTCCATCAGCCTTCTGACAAACTTCTCGCATTTATTATGCTAACTACTGCTCTTAGCCTCCAGCACTAACCGTGGCAACACATGTACCCTGCCTGCTGCATCCTAAGTGCTCAAAAATGTTAGCTACTGTTATAGCCATTCAACACTATTAATATCTTACCATGGGACCAGCATTGGGTACAACAGTGAACAAGGACAGTGAGGGTTGGTCTCGTGGCACTTACATTCTCCGGCTCTGCCTTAAATGACTTCGGTCAGACTTCCAGGACCTTCTGCCATTGGCCCCAGGGTGTTCCAAGTTTTATTCCTCTGCTCTTCAGAGTGATCAGCAGGTCTGACCAATTTGACTTCTCCAAACCCTTCTTCACACCAGCTCATACTACCTTACTCCTCCTCTGATTCCTCTCTGGGATTTCCCCCACCTCATGTCCAGCCCAGGCTTCACTGCATGGCATGGCATGTCTCACTTTTTCACACCATACCAGCTCACAGGAACGCCTCCCCTCCCCCCATCACACTTATTTTCCATGCCTCTCACCGACACATAATCACATCATACTTAACTTGCCTGGTGAGAATCTCAAGCTACCATATCTTCTCTTTGCAGCAAGATATGAAATGTGAAGAGTATAGGGATTTTGCCATAGTTCCCTTTTCTGTGTGTGAGTTTTAAGACAAGGATTGCAAACTCAAATGCTACAGGAGCAAGGCAGGGAGTAGAAGTGAGGGTAGGGCCTGTGGCGAGCTGAGGACAGTCTGTCTGGAGGAGGAGCTGCATTGGCCTCACTGATCGATGCCCTTGATGAAAAAGACAGAGCTCTAATCCATGTGCTCTGCAGCTGGAGAAGAGAGTTAAAATATCAGGGGCGGGAGGCGCGGGGGCTGGTTCATAGTGGGGGGGGATAGATCTCTGATCTTTTACAAACACTATGATACCACTCCCTTCTCCTTCCAACACAGGAGAGTTAAGGTTCCTACTATTCATAACAGGAAGACTGCAGTATTGGACTGTTAAGAAACATGGGTATGATGGTCACTTTAGCTGGAGGGGAATTCCCCCTCCTCAACTTACTTTCTTTTTTACGGACAGACTTCTAGAAAAATGACAAAAGTGTGTTTTAAATTAGTTATCTACTAGAGGCATGGTGCATGAAATTAGTGCACTGGGGGCGGGTCCATCAGCCCAGCCTGCACACTCTTGCAGTCTGGGACCCCTCGGGGGATGTCTGCCTGCTGGCAGTCATACATTCCTCTCACAGTCCAGGACCCCTCACTCCTTACTGCCCGCCAGCTCGCTGCTCCTTACTGCTCCTTAGCACTACCATGGAGGCAGGAGAGGCTCCCACCACCGCTGCTGTACTTGGTCAGCCGTGAGCCTGGCTTCTGGCTGAGTGGCGCTGCCCCTATGGGAGCACACTGAACACCAAGGGACAGCTCCTGCATTGAGTGTCTGCCCCGTGGTGGTCAGTGTGCATCATAGTGACCGGCTGTTCTGCCGTTCGGTCAATTTGCATATTAGGTTTTTATTATATAGGATGGCTTCATTCTCTCCAGCACCATTTAGGAATGCAGGTCCAATATCATCACATCTTGCAAAATTTTAACAGAAGGCAGAATTCAAACTTTATTAAAATCTCTCAGGTTTTTTTAAAGTTGGCAACTAAATTAAAAATATTTGAATGCATTGTGCAGCTGCACAACATGAGGTCTGTCCTAAGGGTTGTAGCACACACTGCCCTGCATATACAAGTATTTTGGGGGAAGGAGTGAGAAATGAATGAGACTTCCATACTCTAGTTTGTTGGCTAAAACTATATGAATATAATGCCATATTATAAAAATACTGTCAAAAGAAGATTTATTTGATTAAATAAACATATCAGAGTCATTTACCATCCATCCCTGCAAAGTTTGGGAGGACCTTTATGCTCACTTGACAGCTCAGATGTCCCCTGCATGTTCCTGCTCGTTTTCCACCTGAATATTATTTTCCTTGTTCGCCTACTAGTAGTGATGCCAGCCCTGCTCCCATTTTCATTGGCAGATATCGCTGCCTGAAGTGCCTCAACTTTGACATCTGCCAGATGTGTTTCTTATCCGGTCTCCACAGCAAGTCCCACCAGACGTCTCATCCTGTGGTTGAGCACTGTGTCCAGGTAACACCTAACCTATTGTCCCAAACTACTCCTGAATCGTGTCCGAACCAGCTACAGCAGCTTAATCACTTTCCCTCCAGAAAAACCAGAGTCTGCTCCTTTCATTAGAAATATTTATGACTAAGGAAGTGGCAAAGTGAACCTTAAATATCTCTCAATATAAATATGTTTTCTTTACATTGTAAATTTAAATAAAATCATTGGGGGGGGGGCAGAATAGGCCAAACTGAGTCCAGTCTGAAGCCATCGATCCCAGATTGTGTATTAGAAAATGTCTGCAGTGTAAGAGGGGTGAGGCGTTGGAAATGGGTGCGGATTAAAAAGAAAAGGATCTGGTTGGTAAAGATGATGCAACAAGGCTTCTAGTTTCTAGGACATTTGGGGAGTTTTCCTTTTTAACATCTTTTTCCTGAGTCCTAAATGTCAAGTATTTTTTCTCAAAGAAAAATGAAAGAGAAAGACAACTATCCCAGTTTTTAGTGGAAGATTATAAAACTAAGACTTTTAAAAGAAAAATTTAATAATCAGCAAGAGAATTCAGATCTTTCTAAGAGGAAAGAGAAATGGGATAGTACATTTTAAACAAAGAGCATTTTAACTTTCCCAGAAAGAACACTTTCTTCTCATCACAGCCTTTCTGTGAATCAGTTTCTCCACACAGATGACATCACCCTGAAACGCCACAATAGTGAATGAAGTGTCTTGATTAACTAGCTTTGCCGAGGACAGTTTTCTCTCATTCTCCCCTTTAACACACATAGTCCACAAAAGTCAAGTGTCTGGATCCTGCCAAATAATTCCCAGTGGGCACTGCTTTGCTAAACTTTATTAACCCAAATCCTCAGGTTCAATGGCCTGAGATCTGTTTGTAAAAGCCTGGGGAGAAACGGGCTTATCGGTGTTAGACTGACACCGTGTGGCCACTTTGTTATTACACTTAAGATTTCAAGGGCTGGAAATTTTAACAATTCATTGCATTCCTTCTTTACTTTTTTCTTTTTTTTTTGGCAGAGGTTCTTAATGTGGGGTTGATGGGTGGACAGTAGGTGGTCTGAGCATATTTCTGGAGATAAATCCCTGGATGATCACCCAATTCTCAAAGGAATCCACAGCCCGAATGTTAATGACCATGGACTTAGTCTTCCTTCATCCCCTCTTCTAGCTTTAACATCCCACAATACTGGGTGGCTCGAAGGGAGAAGAGTTACCATAGAAGTTGGGGGGTCTGTTCTGTGTACACATAGACACAGAGAACGTAAAGAAATGCAGGTAGTAAGAAAGTAAGATGATTTTTCTGAGGACATAAACGTAGGTGAAGCAATTCCAGAGACTTTCCCCAGCAGCCGGTCTGCCCAGATCAGGAAAGAAGACCATGTTGAGACTGACCATGGACCCAAATTCCAGACTCCTAGGAGGAAAGCAGGTGTTCCATGTAATTTGCATTATTTGTTCAAACAATTTTGTCAAAGTGAGCCACACTTGTGAGGTAAGATGATGGGAACCTTCTTGAAATCTAAGTTCTCAGAAGCCAGCTAAGGGCCAACCTCATAAGCAGGTCTTCCTAGGACAAGCAGTCAGGTTAACCTATACAGTGGGGCCTTGACTTACGAGTTTAATTTGTTCCGAGACCGAGCTCATGAAGGAGCTCGCTCGTTAAAGAGCTCGTTAACTCAAATTACTCTGTCAACTCAATGCAAAAAATCGGCTGAGAGACAGCTGGTATCTCAAAAAACTCGTTAGCTGGGACACTCATAAGTCAAGGCCCCACTGTACCTACTTTTGGTTGGTTTGCCTTTGAAAGCTTAATTCAGAATTAATACTTCTTAAAAAAAATAAAGGAAAGATAGTATTCCATCACTCACAGATGAATGCTTTTCACACTTTAGTGTTCCAAAACAGGAATTACGCTGTAGGTACAATTTTTCATTCTTCTCTTCACCTGCATTAAGTAAAGAGCATTTCCCATCTCATTAGTTTCCAAAATGTCATTTTTAATGGCCTAACTCTAATAAGGAAGTGCCACAATTCACAAGCAATCCCTTATATCATTGAAAATTTTAGTTATTTTCAAATTTTATTCCCCTAAATTCTGTTTATCAACATCCCTATATACGTATCTTCTCATACTTTTAACATTTTATTGAGATAAATTTACTCAAGTAAAATCTTGGGTCAAAAATGTGAATTTTTTTAATTCTCAAAATTCAGAATGCCAGCCTATTCTCCAGGGAGTCAGCCCAAAGCACACTGCCGCACCCCTGGTACAAGATCACCACCACATCACCCGATCACCACCAAAGGTGACCTTTACAAAGTCTCCGTGACCTTACTTTTTGAAATAACCCCTTCTTCGCAATTTAAAATTTGAGACGGTAAAGAGAAGAGAGGGCGTTTCCTATACCTTGCGATCATTAAACTTTTGGGAGGCAGGAACAGAATTATTCCCATTTTATCTACTGGGAGAAGAAGAGATCAGTTTAAATAGGTATTAATTTTTGATTTCTTTTGTAATTCTCTAATCTTTTCTCAGGCATCCCACCAGTATAATTCTATCTCAACCCCAGGCCCTATTTCTGTGGTTATTTTGTCACTTTACAATTTGGTGTAATTAAATATATATTTTTAGCTCTTTAAATTGAAAAGTACATATTGACTTCTCAGTTAGAGGGCACTCACTATGTCTGTATCATTTCCTAGCAGGTTGATAGCAATATCTACACTAATAAAAGAGAAAAATGGTAATTGGCGTACGACACTACCCTTTTCATTGGCTAATCAGGGCTATATGCAAATTAACTGCCAACTAAGATTGGCAGTTACCTGCCAACAAGATGGCGGTTAATTTGCCTA